AACATGCCCATTAAGCCAGAACCCACCAAGTCCACTTTACTTTCAGGATGAGGGACATTAATTTGTTTACTTGGTTAATTCCTCGATTTGTGGCCTGCCCTCCCCCCCCCCCCCCACAAGAAAAAACATGTGGATTACTGCACATACAGCTTGAACTACAGGAAGCAAATGAGGTTGTGGGCTACCATTGAACCATGGAGACCCAGACCACTATGCAAAGGGGATTGTGGAAAGGTGAGAAAGGGGAGACACCTTGAAACTGCTCAACAGCTGCCTTGTGGGAAAAAGGAGGTTGTGGTGGTGGATGCATGAAGCATAAGCAGGAAGAACTATATAAAAATACCTACTGATTTGATTAGTGATTTTTGTTATATAGTTTGGGCTGAATCATCATCTTCAGAATCAATGGGTCTTTGTGTTCAGCCTCTAACAAAACAATGTAACAAGGAAGAGTGTCAACAGGTTTGAGACTCACATAAAAACCAGAATAACAGTTCAACCCCAAACTGTCCACCCCTGGCTGGCCACATTCTTCCTTTTTAGGGGATGGGGGACCCGGGAGGGGTTTGGTGGGAATGCACCCTTGAACGGCACTTTTGCATTTTAGGTTGGCTTGTGCTTCATTTCCAGAACTAGACTTAACCCCTGTGCCATGTGCAACAGCTTTTTCATGTGTGTGTGATGGTGCGTTTTTGTATTGTAGGGTTGCCCGTGTCATCAAAATAATGAAGACCACTTATGCTCCTTCAAAAGCCAGTTTGAGGGTTCTTGAGCACCCACCACTTGGGCTTTGAAATAGTCAACGGTTTTGAGGGTTTGTGCTCCAAACAATGCTATTAGCATAGCCCTGTCGTCTTTGCTCTGCTGTATTCGGTGCATGACGGGGATGCCCAATTCATATCAACCTCAACCCACACCAAACTCTTTATAGTCCCAACTCAAAATATCCTAATTGGCATCAGCATCTTTCAAATCTAGTGGAATCACACTGAAACCCAAATCCTGGGCAACCCTAGCAACACTACCTGTTCCACTAAATAACTCCCATAATCTCATATGAACAAAACAATTGAGATACTGTTTTTTATTATTACCATGATGCGTGTGAGGTAGTGAATTGAAAGCATCAATGTAAAACATGGTATTTTCATAGTTTGATAAACTCTGTTTGAATTGACTCTTTTAAAACGATTTGATGAGACTTACTCCTGATGAGGTTGCAGGTGATTTCGTGTTCTGTTTGATACATTTGTGATTTGTACATTTTCTTGAGATCAAAGTGTTGCTAATGCCCAAGTAGTGAATGACGTCACTCTTTCTGGGAAGAAGGGGCTTATTGAAATTTCAGAAGGCCCAACATTACATCCGTCTTGTGTGTCCCTTCCCAAACCCACTCCCCGCTCCCCCCTCTTGTGCACCTTGATGAGCAGCTTCTCCATTCAACTTAAAAAGAGGGTGCTCTTCAGTGCTTATGTGTGTACCTGCTTTTCAGTGGATTGTGCTTGAACCTTCAAATCACGGGGGCAAGGGGGGCAAGGGTGCCAGCGTGGGAACAAGGTGGAGCCAGGGCACAGGCACCTGTCGATGGGAGCCAACATGGGTCAGAAGTCAAGTAAAGCATAGAGCTCAATTAGACCAACTTCCCATCACCTTCCCATGTTGCCCACCACCTTCACATGCACACTTCAGCCTAGCAAACAAGTTACATGTCAATGGGCCAAGGACAGGAGCCAGGATTTCGCCTTGTGGCAAAAGTCATTAGTCTTAGTGTGTTTGACATGGTACTCATGCAGGTATTCATGCATGACGTGCCAGCCGTTGAACAGCACATGTTTTTGAGAACTTCTGCCTTGGATTGCACTGGCCACATGCAGCATACCATTGCAATAGGTTTCTGACATGCAGTGTGGAAATATTGAGTGAGCTGGCAAATAAGTAAGTTATCAGGGTGGAAGTTTCTGCTGTCATATGTTTTTCCTAACTGCCACTTCTCCATGAACAAACTGTCACTTCCAATGAACATGGATTCTTTGGGTTTGGGCGCTTAAAGCTGCTTTCCAGGACCTGGACTTCCAGGTCCTGGCCAAGACCTGGAATGCCAGGACTTGAAGATTGCGCACTTCAGCAGTGAGCCTCCAGACGGATCCCTAGAAGCCCAGAACCCTTTGCGCAACCCTGACCCTGAACCCCTAAACCCTAGAGGTCCAAACCTAACCCCATTTAGCATGCAATCCCTGCACTGCAAGCCTCCCTTTTACGCCCTCAATCTTCCCGAATACTGAAATGCAAGGCTTGGCCCACCTTTTTGCATCCTGTAACTACTACGCCCCGAGATTCCAGAAGCCATGTAGGGGTTGCTGAACGTTGGGGTTTCCACGCAGACCCACCCCTGAGCCCTCCAAGGGACCCCTGAAAGCCACTGCTGAACGCTGCGAAAGAATCCCTCCCATGAACCTTTTTCAACGGATGACCTTGCTAAGTGCAGCAAACAATAACCACTAGCCATGAGAAAACTGCTCAAAGTAACCTTTCTGAACCTCAGTCATCCTAGTACCCTTCTCATGCTCACTTCAGAAGTTTGTTTCCTATCATGGTAGCGCTAGCAATCATTCCTGGCAAGGCTGCCTGCAGCTTGAGTCCAGGGCGCGAGGCAGGGGAAGCACATGTGAACATGTGCAACCCATGTCAGTTGCTGAAGATGAGCAGTCCAGTGCGCATGAGAAGCCATAACCAAGGCTGTGCTGCGCTGCCGTTTTGCTTCACCCACCCAGAGTCTAGGATGGTTGTGCTGTGTGCTTCAGGCTTGATGGTTTGAGCTTTGCGTTGTGGTCCACAACTTCCCAAAGCTCCTCCATTATGCAATAACAATAAAGGCAGTGAGAAACATGCTGGAATGATAGTTGTACTGCTAGTACTGCTCATTCTTGCCATGGCTGCTGAAGAACACGATTTCTGCCCCTTGTTTCAGTCTGCAAGCTGCAATCTGCGAGGGCTTCGAGCAAACTATGGCCTCCCAGTGGCAAGCAGGGAGCTGCCAAGCGCCTCAGCATGGGGTCATGTTGCGAAGCTTGACCGCCAGTCACTGGTGGAGGCTTGGAGGACTGGCAAGAACAAGGTCTCGTTCAAACCACGGCGGGACAAAGCGCACCTGGTCTTTACCATCGTTGCTCACAAGAAGCACAAGCACCGTTGTGTACACCAGTGGCTCCTGTCCCATGTGAAGTTTCCTGCTCTCCTGGTTGAAGAAGTTGCGATCGTCGTTGTTACACTCACCGTGGAGGTTTTGGAAGGCAACAAGTCTGGCCGCGTCACCCTCACAAAGCTGAATGGTGCCCAATGGGCGTCTATCACAGCTGACCTGAAGCTTCCTTTGTCAACAGTGCGTCGTAATCTGCTCAATTCTGTGGAGCCTGAGCTTTCCAGGCTGCAAAAGAGTCGGGTGCGCATTACTGGCTCTTCTAAAGGCAAGGCAGTGGTTTTGAGGGGCAGCAGCAGCTTGCGCAGCATCGCCCGCCGCATGTGAGCATCATTTGGCAACACTGTGTTCATATGGGTTTGTCCCAAAATTAGGGCACCCCTAAAATGGCTATTTTCCTTTGTCATTTAAAAAAATCCCAAAAAAGGTACCGTCAAAAAAAGACACTATATGATGGGCAATGGCAATCCGGTGCAGCGTCAGCCGGTTTCAGAGCTGCGCAAGTTTTGAGGGGCAGCTGCAGCCTGCCTGTGCAATATCACCCGGTGCCTATGAGCAATGCGGCACAAGCATGCGAGGAGAAAAGAGACTCAGTTCATGCAAGTGCCTTCTGCCACAGCAACCTTGGTCTTACTCCCTGAACCCCACGTCTTCAAAAGTCCGACAACCCAACCCTCCTAGCACCCTTCACACCCTACAGTAACCCCTGACCACTCACTGAGTGAGCTTGTTGCTGACAGGTGGCAGCAGCTTCCACGACGCGGCCGGCCAGGTTGAAAGCGCGCAGACATGCAATGAGGGCCATCGTGCTGTCCAGTGCACTTCCTACTTGTTTGGGGGGGGGGGCTAACGCTTTTGTGTTTTGGGCGGCTTGGGAGGTAGGATTGCTCAAACATGACCTTAAAGTGTGTGTGTGTGTGTGTGCACGGGTTCTTGCCCATCCCAAATCCAAGACCTGGACTTCCAGTTCAGGATCGACAAAGTGCATCGGAATCGATCCTCAGCCCTAAACGATGAGCCCACAATACCTGTCAGACTTAAACCTTCCAGCCCTTCACCCCCCAAACCCAGACCTTCTCGCACTAGATAGGTGAAAAGAGCCTCAGTTCATGCAAGTGCCTTCTGCCTCAGCAACCTTGTTCTTACTCACTGAAAACCCTGACCTCTAAAGTCAACCCTCCTGGGACCCTTCATCTCCAGAACTTGGAAGCTGAATCCACACCCTACAGCAACCACTGAATAAGCTTGAACTTGTGGCTGACAGGTGGCGCAGCAGCTTCCACGACGCGGCCAGGTTAAAAGCACGCAGACATGCTATAAGGGCCATCATGCTGTCCACTGCACTTCCTACTTGTTTGGGGGGGGGGGGGGTAACGCTTTTGTGTTTTGGGTGGCTTGGGAGGAAGGATTGCTCAAACATGACCTTAAATTGTGCGTGTGTGTGTGTTTGCCCATCCCAAATCCAAGACCTGGATTTCCGGTTCAGGATCTACAAAGCGCATCGATCCTCAACCCTAAACGACGAGCCCACTACTACCCGACTTAAACCTCCCAACATTACACCCGCCCCCCCAAAACCCAAAACTTATAGTTCTAGACATCACCAGTAAGTTCCAAGAGCAACCAAGGCCAAGTCATGTTTTGTCATTTTTGAGCTGATTGTTCATAAAGACTCTGGCCGCAGACACAAGCAAATGAAAGGACCATTTACAAATGAAAGTACCAAATACCATGGCCATGGCTTAAAGGTGATGTTTCGGTCTCACTCAAACGGGAGATGTAGTTCTAGCCCTCTAATTCTACCCTAGTCGACTTCATTTTTCCCCGTGGCTGAGGTCTCGGGGTATTCGATCCACGCCTCATCCAAGCGCCAGCTGTCCTGCTTCCGCACGTCCAGCGGCAGAGTCACCACATAGGGACTGCGCCTGGGTCGCGATTTTGCCAAAAACCTGGCCTCCAAGCCCAAGTCTGGGGTACACAAAAAATATATGTTCAGATGTCCATATTCAATCTACCCTACAGCATATGTATATATATATATATATGTATATATATATATATTATACACATTGTTTGGAGGAAACCCCAAAAGCGCACCAAACGGTTCTTTGAACTCTGACATTAATGAGAAACGCCGAGAAACACACGAACAGATTCTGTTTCATGCAGTGATAAACAATTTGTTGAGAAGACCCCCGTTGTGTGGAATGCCAGGGGTTTTGACCCGTCTGAACTCTACGTTCAAGGGGTTGACAATACACAAGCGTCATATTGTGCAGTCTGCCTGGCCGTGTCTTCAGTGAAGAACCAGAGGGTTGCAGTAGCTAGGACCTGGTTTGCGTGATAAAGCCGAGCTGGGAATTCAGCCCATGGTGCCCAGGCTGCACGTCATGAGTTTCGAAGTAACAACTTGATTCAACGCCATAAAGCCTGAGCTGTGTTGCGGATGTGTTTTGTATGGCCCCATCGACAGCGCATCCACTCGCTTCTCTCATTTCAACCTCACCTGTTCATCCCACTAGGCCAAGACCAGGCTTCGGTCTGGAGAATTGAGGCATCTGAGAACAATGGCCTCCTCACCTTGTACGAAGTTGGATGAACCTTTACATGTCTCTGGTTCTCTTGCATGCAAAAAAGGCGACCAAGAAACAGCCAAGGCGCTGATGGATGTTGGGGCATGATAAGGGAGGCTGATTGTCGCCTCAGCTGCACATGAGCACTGCATCTTGGCCAAGATAGCTAGCGGGGTGGTGTCAGCATAGGCCAGCCATTGAGCCCTGTAAAAGGTTGACACCCCTGGATTCATAAACCTGTCCAAATATTTGGGGAATGGAGAGGCAAAAGCTGCCAATAAACAATATGTTCATGTTGAGAACCTTCGGAACCGTGGAATCGGAGCCTAATCGAACCTAACCATCAAAGCAAAGCGAACCCTGAAGGTAAAGCTCATGCCAATTGAGCCAAATCGAACCGCTACACGCATAGACGCATGCGGTATATCAACATGGGCAGGGCTCGGCTTGCCAAGATGCAGCCCAGGCTGAAGAACCCAGAGCAGTCGGAGCCATCTTCGGGACAGCCCGCGTGCGCCTTGAAACCGGGGGTTGATTTTGCTCGCAACGGATGATATCAGTAGAGGGGTTGGCCATGCAACATGATTCCTTTACCATTCATTGCTGTTGAGGATCTTGCTGACCCCTGAATATGAAGATTGACATGCTAAAAGCATGTGTGTGAAAGAGAAGTCCTAGTATGGCTGAGGTCGGTGTGGCTTCCAAACAACATGCAGAATGGGGCCCTTGATTTGGACACACACTTACACATCCTCGCACATAGTCTACAAGTTGCATCAAAACAAGTGACCAACAACATGTGAAATGCAATGCGTGCCAACTTTACCCAGTTCTTTCGTAGGGGGAAAGACCCCCCACGATTTCATTTCTGGTGCGCTGTGTCTCACCAAGTTTGGGCCAGAACCACCCATTCAGCTGGACCCCTCATTCCAAAATACACTCCCACTCCACTTGACTTTCAAACAGTCGTGTTGACAGGCCCCAGACCAAAGGGTCAGATTCATGCTCTTGCGTCTTGTGTAATTAGAAAGAACCGGTCAACAACACACCTGACACCTGCGGTATCCGTGCTGGGGACTCTGACCTTCCCACCCCTGCACAATCGCAATCTCATCTTAAGCCCCACCACCCCTCACCCACCACCACCCTGGCAATCTGCAACCTCTACAATACTCAGCAATAGGGGAAGTCCCTAATCCAAATGACCTACATCTTGAGTAGTTTTCCTCGTTTGACCCAATCCGAGCCGTGGAATCGCTCGCCATATACCTCGCTTTAGAGCAAGGCGCCTGCCCCTCTGGCTGAAAGTGGCCCCAGAACCCAACAATTCCCACCACCAGGATGGATTCTCAAAATAATCAAAGTCGGGGGGTGCCCTAAAAATGGTCGGTGTCCTTTTTGGTTTCCCTGTAAATACTAACCAGAAAGGGGTCGGAATCCCATTTTGAGCACGTCACATATGGGTATGTCTTGAAAAACGGGATATCCCCAAAATGGTTTTGTTTTTTCTTTGGTTTCCCTTAACCAACCTTTAACCAACCTTAAACCAACCTTAAACCGGTACCCTCATACAAAAACACAGACCCGGCGATCGAGCCGGGCTGGATCGATTCGAGATCCATGGCCTGGATGGGATAGACCTGGCGCGTTGGCTTCAGCATCCTCGTGAAGCCCTGGAAGCCCGGCACCTCCCGGGCCCAGCTGCCGATCACCGCCGCACGCTCCTGGTACCTGCCGACCCGTTTACCCGTCTGACCGGGCGCGAAAAAATGCTCACCGGGGTGGATGGGGTGGATTGGGTGGATGGTCCCGGTGTTTTTGTTGAGGCTTGGCGCCCTTTTTAGGTGGTTTGGAGGAAGCCAACGGGAAATCGTGCATTGCTTCTTGTTTTGTGTTGTTTAGACAACAACATAATAGATGGGATTGTTGGTTATATCAAAGGGTAGCCTTATTTTGATTGCTGAGAAAAGTTTGAAAGTGTCTTTTCTGCTGAAATGATCTGCCCAGAAAGCTCAGAAGGGTACCCTCTTTCCAACAATCATGGAAGTGCACAAAGGGGTTCCCCAAAAGGAAAATAGTCTTCCAAAGCTCTCCTGTCAACTTCCATGATTGTTGGAGGGACGGTAACAACTTGGGCCAATCCAGAAACAAAATTGGGCAATATGCAGCTTTCTCACATAATGCTTTGTTGGAACCAAGTGACAAAACATACCAGAAAAGCAGTTGACCCGCTGGATCCAACAAATTCACTGAGTCGGCAACTGAATAACTCAAGGCTCAGCTTCCAACCGTGAGAAACAAACGACTGCCCATTTGCGACACGACAAACACCTGTGTCTTTTGGCGGAAGACAGGAGAGCGCACTCCAATGGAAAACTTGTGCTGTCGACCCCGGAATCAACCTGGCGGATGAACAGGTGGATGTTTCGTAGTGAAGGATTTCCTCTTACATGTGACGACACCCTATCTATCAGCCAGAAGTGTTTCTTTAGGTTCTCACCAGGATCTGAAAAAACATCCCCTTGGCTTCCTATCTATTGGTTTCCATTTGAATAGATGCTTTAAGAATGGTGGGCCCATGGGCCAACGCGTTCCCCATTTTCGTGGACCGACCGACCGCCGACCACGCAGGCCTGGTGGCCGTCTCATAGAGGGGGTTGCTGGTGTCGTGGGTGTAGCAGGTGCCTCAAGACAACCCTCCATTTGCGAACGCTTTCCCTGAAAAAATATCCCGTGATAGATTTTATTTAATCCCAAGAGGATAAAACGGTCTTCTTGAGCTTTAGAGGTACCATTTTAGTGAGGAACAAACCAAACCTACAAAGAAGCAAGGGCGCTGCGAACAACTGGCTGGCTGCAAGAGCTGCACTTCGGGTCGAGACCCAGACAGGCCGCAAGCGAAACTCGGGAGGTGAAAGAAGAGTCAATTGCCAACACCGGCATGCAGTTCCCACATGGCCGTGCATTATCATCTGGAATCTGACAAGTGGTTGGTGGGCATAGATAATCCCCACCGAATGTTGATGTCCGCCAAAGGGTCCAACCATGCACTTAAACTGCTGCCCATCAAGATCTGACGAACTGGGGGGTGAAGACGCAGGGTCCCCCTGTAAATACCAAATTATAGTTTCTTCCATGGTTTCATTTCGTGGCGCGAAATGGATTTCGCAACCATCCACTGTATCTCCGCTCACAGGTTGAAAGATGTGCAGCTTCCAGCATTGGCACAACAAGAACCACATTCAATCATGTACATGTGCAGTAGTGGACCAGCCATGGAATTAGACGGCACAATTCGCAAGTTTCGTCATCCGCTTTGCATACCCAAATAACGGCCATTGTACCATCTACTTTTAACCCTGAATTCACATGGCTCTAAGTGCGCAGGACATATGCACAACAATCTGCACATTTCACAACTGAAGAAACCTGAAACAAGGAGCCTCCCAAAAACTTCATTGTGAGCTTGCCCCCTCCCCCCCCTGCCCGAATCGGTGAGCTTGCACAGAAATGAGGGCTCCATTCTGAGTGCACACCCCAAAGGTGATTCAAGCTCCTCACATCAAGACACCCCCCTGGCCGACCTGCAGATTTCTGAGAGGCAGCACAGGGGAGCTGTTGCTTGCTAATCAACAAAAACTCACTCTGACCTTTTTTCACCAAGAACAAGTTGCGAAATCCTGAGCGCAGGGATAAGTGAGTGACTCAAGCCAGTGCAAACGACTTCTGAAGATGCGCCCAAGGAGCAATAGTCCGCACTCAGTGTCTGCACAGCGGCGGCATGGGCCAAGGTGTCCTGCAAATGTCATTGGAATTTGTGGACCAGGTCGCAGCAAGTCTTAGGCAGAATGAATTGATCATATATGCAAAAGAAACACATTGTCAGGATTGCGAGATTAAAGGCAGCTGGTCATTCGCTGCCCAACTGACATTGGAATCGGTGAGGAGCCCCCAACTTGATTATCAGTTTTGTGTTCGTGTCCGAACGTCGCTCCCTCTACATTGCTCTGCTGCAGCAAATTGGCATTCACCTGGGACACAGCCACACACAAACACACAGACGCACAATTACATGATTGCTCGAGGAGCCATGGAGAAAACCGCTTCAAACAAAAAGACCAGTATGTCTATATATATATATATATACATATATTATATGCATCATGGTACGGCCATTGCTGGGCAGCAGATAAAAACCAGCTAGAAGCCTCCTCCCGAACCCAAACTCTAGTTGCATGATGCATGCTTAAAAACCAAACGAGGAACCAGCGAGTATGTGGCATGTGATCAAATAATTACCCCCCACCTTAAACCAAAAGTGGTTTTCCCCTTGGCTCCTTCCCCCCCCAAAAAAATAAGTACCCGAAAAGAAGCGCACCGATCGAAGGGCCTGCAGGCAGAGGCCTGTGCAGCCTGGCAGAGGTGCACAAAAGGGGTGTGATTCTGTCGGTGGTTTCAAAGGGGGAACCAAGAGGAACATAATTTTGGGGAAGACCAAATCCCTAGATTGACGGGAATTGACCCAATTGCAGGGCCCTCTCGGCGCCGTTCCACTCGCCGACCTTTCACGATGCAGGTGTTTGCTTTCGCAGTAGAGCTTTTCGAACATTGCCTTACACAAAATTAAACGTGTAATTTGCAGCGGCCACAAAAAATGCCACAAGAAATCGATACGGGCACCGAACCGATGCGCTTTAATCTAGAAAACAAAAGGGGACCACAGGGCCCCCTAATTTCCCCCTCAAACATCACCAACAGGCGATGTTTAAACCAGTTTAAAACTACAGAAACAGGAGCTGTGCCCAATGCTCGCATGCGCATTCTCTGAGTGCTCGGGTCCCGGGTGTTGAGTCCTTGAGTCGGTCAGGTTGTCGGAGGTCAAAAAACAAGTCGGGCGTTGGCCGAACAAGGCCCTTTTTGCAACGATACTCCGAAAAAGAGCAAAACTAGGGTCTCTTCCAAGATCTATTTTGCCTTTAGAAGCCTTTAAAGACAATATTCAGGTTGGCTGCCATTTGGCGGACTGGGATGTTTCAGGTACTCTTGCACGATATGAACGCCAAAGCCAGCGGCCTCAAAGACTCCTCGATCGGGACTGGCACCGAAGCCATTGGGCCAGAGGCAAAGTTGCAAGATACTAGAAGGGAACGACTACAGTATGCCACATGGTAACTGGGTGTTTCACCTTCAGGTCGTTTCCTCTTGGCTTCCTCTTAATTACCATTCCCAAAGAGGACCGATTCCGAGGCTTAGAAACTCCCAACTGGGGAACCAACCAACAACCAACTCAAATGCGAGTGGAGTGAAACCCTTTCCAGCACTCCCTCCCAACCCAACCCTAAGGTGGAATCCTTTCCATCCACACCCCACGGAGTTTTCCTGGTCAGTTAATTGAAATAATTTCAAAAATGCAAACATTGAAGAAAGCGAAAATCCAGCGTTTCCACGCTGCCACACCACCTGGATATTCATGTTTATCATCATCATGTCCATCATGTCCACCATCATGTCCATCATGATGTCCATCATCATGTCCATCATCATGTCCATCATCATGTCCATCATCATCATCATCATCATCATCATCATCATCATCATCATCATCCTCATCGTCATCGTCATCGTCATCGTCATCGTCATCATCATCGTCATCGTCATCGTCATCGTCATCGTCATCATGATGATGATGATGATGATCATCATCATCATGATCATCATGATCATCATGTTCATCATCATGATCATCATGATCATCATGATCATCATGATCATCATGATCATCATCATGTTCATCATCATGTTCATCTTCATCATCACTTTCATCACATCATAGTCATCATCATTCTCATCATCATAGGTGCCAAATGGATTGCGCCCATCCACACAAAACCTAGATGGTTTCAGTTATGTGGGAATGATGCCCCCCCCCACCCCCCTTCCATACATAGGGCTTGGGTTGGCGATGATTTTATCCTCATGCTAATTGACATACTTGAACAAAAAAACGTGAAAAATCAAGCGGGGGAGGTTCCAGGGGTCCAGCCGGAACTAAGATACTACAAGAAGACCACAAGTCAATATTTAAAGTCGGAAAAATCAAAAATCCAAAATCTTAGTTTGTTCATGTTTTGCAATGGAAAACCAAAATGAATAAAAAGGGGGGAGATCCCAGGGGGAGATCCCAGGGGTCCATTCTGGACCGCAACACTGAGGAAAGCCTGCGGCAAAATTACCGGTCAACAAGTGAACATGAGTGCAACTATTGAAAACAAACAAGACTTTGGAAGACTGACAAACCGGCCGGTCATGTAATACTTACTATTCCCTCTTACCCCCCCCCCCGCCCCCCCGGTTTTAACCTTCTCCCCAACATAATAAAAAGGAAATGGACTCCACTGGGGCTGGACTTCACTAAAACGTGCCACTCACTTCCCCCACTCTCACCGCTGAAACGCTCGCCTTCGCCCCACGTCGCTCCGTCGCTCCGTCGCTCCGCGCCTCCGAAGGCCTCTGTGGCCGGCTCCGCGAGCACGGCCCGCGTGAGCTTCGCCGAGCCATCCGGTGCCAGCGGCGCCAGGCCGGGCGCCTCGTGTTCACGAGCCGGCCACAGGTTGGGCCCCAAAACGGCCAAGCTGAAACAACCACACATAGCTTTTCTTTCCTCTCCACTTGGGCCATGTGTTTCGTTTTGTTTTAAAGTCGTTCCAGTCACTTTTCATAGAGATACTCTCCCCAAAATATGTGTTTGCTCTCCTAGGGACCCGCTGGGGTAGAACACTTTACTCCCCACAATTCACAGGGTGGCTCTGCACGCCCAGGGTTCGCTTGAAGGTTGCTGGGGAGGCGTTTGAAAGCAACTAGTGACCCACTGTGGACGGACAAATTATGCGCCACCTAAGAAACCACAAAACGATAATTGTCTATAAATACCCACAAAAATGTTTCTTCATGGTTTCAAAGTGTTGCAGGATTTCGTCCCTCCACAGTGAGACCCCATCCAGCAGAAAAGTGTTCTTAGAACCTCCCTAGAAAAGGTTCTTAGAGAAGTTCTGAGAACCTGTCTGCCGGGCAGCGGACCCTAAAAACCTTTGTAACCATCGCACCAATGGGAGGTACGCACAAAGGGCATACGTCGAATCTGAGTTCTTTGGGTCACGCGAACGGCCTCCTGCTCGCCTCCGAATCCCTTCACTCGCAAACCCCTGACCCCACCTCCTTCCGCCAGCTCACCTGCATGTAGCCTCGGACGTTGCGCAAGAAACACTGGCAGCACAGTGATACAAGGAACGCCAGGCACAAATCACAAAGCGTGACCTTTGGTTCTAGCAAAAGGTTGCAAAGGCTCAAATCCAATCAATGATCCCTATTCAACCAGTTGGTGGCTGTCGCGGGAGGGACAGTCAACTCTTGATTCACCGAACTGGAGCAACTCTGTTCAGCCAGCGGGCAGTGGCAAAACTCCGTGGTAGTGGTCGTGGTGCTGCGTTCCAACGCCAGCCTTGGCTTCTGAAGCCAGTCGCAAACCCCTTGGTCCCAGGGGTTTGCCATGGTTAAAACGACTTCCCCTCACGAATTTGCGAGTCCCTGGTTTGCGGGTCTCCCTGTTAGGCCCTGTTCAAACAAGTGACCACACCTGTCGGGTTTCGAGCGGCTAGCGAGTGCCTTTGCCCCTTCCCAGGAGAGCATTGCTCGAAATTCGCTATTCCCCTAATGCATTGGACGACAAGGCAAGGCCCCCAGATTTTGTTGGCTCGTCACCCATGTCCAGAATCCCAATCTGGCCATGGGTCAAAATCCCGTACCCCCAGTGAACATCCCAATCCCTACACCAAAATGGTACCATTAGTTTTGACCCACAGCCATCTGAACATCGACAGATCAGGAATCTTTGACCAAACCTCCGGTTGTTCTCTCAGAGGGCCCGGCGTTGTCTCCCACGAAGTGCCGCCGCTGGTGGAAGCTCCAGCTGTGCCACTCGCATCACTCGCAGCGGTGGTTTCCGGCGCAGAGGTAGTGCCTCCTGGGGCAGTGGTGGTGCTTTCCGTGCCGTAGGGCGCAGTGGTGGTGCCGCCGCCTGGTGCAGTTGTGGCGCCGCCTCCTGGTGCAGCGGTGGTGCCTCCTGGTGCAGCAGTTGTGCCTCCTGGTGCTGTGGTGGTGCCTCCTGGTGCCGTGGCGCTTCCTGGGGCAGTGGTGGTGCCTCCTGGTGCCGTGGTGGCGCTTCCTGGGGCAGTGGTGGTGCTTCCTGCGGTCCCCGCCGCAGTAGTGCTCCTTGTGGCAGAGACACCACCATCTTCCGAGCCCTCGGCACCTCCATCACCCTCCTCTTCCTCATCTTCGTCATCGTCTTCCTCGTCCTCCTCATCTTCCTCGTCTTCCTCATCTTCGTCATCGTCTCCGCTCGCGTCCTCTCCTCCGCCCGCTGTGGTGCTCCCTTGCTGTGATCCGGATGACGGTGTTGTGCTTGTGGTTGCCCTAGTGGAATCCTCCTCCCCATACGTCGGGGCAGTGGTCGTACCAGTCGTGCCTCCCTCCACTGAAGCGGCTGTGGTGGTCGTACCTGCCTCCGCTGAAGCGGCTGAGGTGCTGCGTGTACTGCCTGGAGCGGTCACCAACCTCCTCAAGCTCTGTTTTCCGTCTCTATAGAGTGGAAACATGAAATCAACAAAACATTAACTCAAAACTCAAGCGTCCGTTGCAAAGGATGTGAGGATCTTCCCTCAAAGCAAAAAACCCAACTGGGACACCCAGAAACAGAAACATCCCAGTTTTCCAGCGCACTCCACATCTGCCTCCAGAGGCATCTCCATCTCCGCTTGCCTGAGCTGTATACCAATGAGTCTTCATTGATTTTCCCGAAAACGGTACCAGGGTTTTGGCCTCCCCCATTTTAAGCCAAGGCTGGGACCTTTGGGTTGTTGGCCTGTCTCAGACAAAAGGTTGCCGCGATCCCGTTTCTATTCCTCTTGACATGCTCAGAAAGCTGGATGTTTCGGAAATCTGTGGGGCGACTGCGCAGGTTTGGTCGATCAGCTAGTGTCTGTAGCACCGATCAGATCATGCAACAAGCCCCGTGTGCTGAGATAAATCACGGACATTGTCACTACAAGTCCCATACTGACCCTTGATGGCCATTGCGCTAATCACAATATTGCTAATCACAGTCATCAGCGGCATACTGACCCTTGTCACGCAATAACATTCATCGGGGCCCGGGCGGTGGTGCTCTGGGCGGCCTCAGCTCCGTCTCTCTGCATAATGTCAGGGAACCAAAATGAGGAGACAGATCCGCTTGATTGAAGGGCCTAGAAAACCTGGAAACACCGGTCTCCTCGTTTTAACGCCATTTGACCAAAGGTTTAACAATGGTCAAAATGTGCGCCTTTTGGAGCAACATAAGACCTGTCTCACCTCGCGAGAGGCCTGACTGATAACCACCCTACTCCCAGGAATTGTAAAAGGGAGTCTTCACCATGCCGTACTCGGCTGCCTTGGGGCGATTCGTTAAACAAAAAACAAGCATGAAACCAGCTTCTTGGCAGGGTGTTGCTACTTGTTTTTCCTCGGAAGTAAATGAGGGCATTGACCCACCAAAAACCAACGCGGCTGGAAAACAAGGTCAAATGTCGGATTTAGACTGAGAAAAACCAGGGGCGGCTGGACTTTGGATATACCGATGGACAAAACTCGGAAAATGCACCAGTTGGGTTTCTGTGGTTTATCCCGGTAGTTATAGGGTTCCATCAATCCCCACGAAGCATTTTGTCCATCCACGGTATTCTGCGAATAGGGCCAATGTTCGTTGAACATTTTGAGGGGTCATGCAGCATGTTGACGTGCGTCCTTTTTGAGCACACAGTGACGAATCTGGTGCCGGCCCACCAAGGCCGAATGAACGAGCTTCCTAGGGACGAACAACCCTCTCTAGTACTTGTAGAGTTGAGATACAACTTTCCTAGGGAAAAATTGGTTCAAGAGTTTTGGAGACGGTCATCGGCTTTTGCGTGCAATTGCTCCATTACTTCTCTCCATGCACACTTTTGCAGAACAAGAGTATGTGCAATCAGTCCAAAGCATTTCCAGGGACTGGGCTCCACATGGTCATGTGCTGCACTGTTGCTGGTACCCTCGACCCTTAGAGTCATCAACTTAGTGAAGCTTAACAGTGATCTGGGCAGGCTTTGGTCAAGTCTGGCAATGATATAGGGAACCCAAAACTTGTTTCGTCCTTTCGGGTAGGACATCCACCGAAAAAAAATGCTGAGGCACAGGCAGTCGACTCTCCGTCCCAGTCCTCCTCATCCTCTTCATCTTCTCCTCTGCAAAGCGCTGCTGGGTGCCAGTTGAAGGGTCTGGAAGAATCAAACCATACCCATCTAGTCATCTATAGTGCGTGTCAAAATAAGGGCACCCCCAAGAATGATAATTGTCCTTTTGGTTTCCCTCTACTGTAAACTGAACCACCGGTTCCCCCCAAAAAAAACACAAGCATACCCATCCAGGTTTGGTTCCCTTCTGCGGTCTGCTTGGCTTTGTGCCACAACCCTGCTGCAAAAAACGAACTCTACTCCTTTCTTCCAAGAGTTGCATCCCAAAGTGAACCCTGGGTTCCTTCCTGTAGTCTGAGCAGGTCGCGCAGAAATCTTTCTACTAGCCGTCCAAAATCATGGATCGAACATCTAAGTCACTTTCCCGCGCAACCAGAAGCTACATAGAAAATACCCAGGTTGTCTTCCTGAAAACTGTGGTTGTGTGAAGCATACACACAACACGACCGCGGTGCCATGACCAAACCTCCTCGCGGGGATGGTGATGGTTCCACAAAACCCTCGCAGTGGCTGCATGAATGCCTTGCTAAAGGGAGGATTCGCAGCCAAAACCAGCCATTCAAATGCTGCGAGGGGACGGTCGGTGAAGGCATTTGCCTCCGCAGTCGGTTGGCTTGGCAGAAGCAAGCAGATTTCACTCTGCCCAGTGTGTTTGTGTATCGGGCAGGCCTCTCAGTCTGGATGGTAGCCAACAAGACGCCCCCTCCGCAGCAACAGCGCAGCCAGCAAAGCCAAAGTGGACATGACTTGAGCAGCCACAGGTCATCTATCCAAACGTTGGCCGTAGATCCCACCCTCACTTGGTGCAACCCAATTTAGTACATCCCCCAAGTGCCACTTCTACCCACTTGAGTCATCCCAGTCCTGTGGTGGAGTCCTCCTCAAGCCTGAGCGTCCGATCCAAAGCAGGATGTGGCGCAAAACGGCGCTGTAACCCCCGCTTGAAAAGACCGAAGGAAACGCACCGTTCAGACAACCCAAAGCAACCCAACATAGGCTGTGATCCCTACCAACACAACTAGCGCCACGGAGCTCTGTGGTCGATGATTCCGGAGTGGTGGCAATTGTGGTCACGGTGGTCGAGGTTTTGGGTATGGTCGCTGTGGTAGAGGCGGTGCGAGTGCCAGTTGTAGAGGTGCGCGTTCCTGTGAATGTCGTGGTGGTGCTCGTTGTCGATGTGGGATCCTGAGCTTGACGACAAAGCGTCCAGCTGTGCACCACATGATGCAGAAATATACGCAGGATGCATCTCTTGGGCACTTTGGTGTGCTATGGGCATGGCCAATGTTGATATGTCCTGTCATGGGTTTCTACACCTGACTGCAGAAATATACGCAGGATGCATCTCTTGGGCACTTTGGTGTGCTATGGGCATGGCCAATGTTGATATGTCCTGTCATGGGTTTCTACACCTGACTGCAGAAATATACGCAGGTGCATCTCTTGGGCACTTTGGTGTGCTATGGGCATGGCCAATGTTGATATGTCCTGTCATGGGTTTCTACACCTGACTGCATTGCATTGAGTTCAATGCCAATGGCTATACAGTTGCTGTCGCAACTGCAGCCGGCTGTAGGCTCGCCACCGCCATTTGTTTGGCCAAATTTGAAGGGGCCCACTCCAAGAGTGACACACACACACACACACTCAGCATCCCACTAGACAACTGTTTTGTCGGGGTTCTTTTAAGGACACTGGCAAAAGGCAAATGGGTGTTTGTCTCAAAAATAGGGGATCCTAAAACATTGGCGCTTTTGTTGCTCTCTAACCAGTTGGTAGGTTCGTTGCCCAAGTTTTATGGGACACCTGTGGCCGAGAAAGCGACACCTTCCCGGTGCTTTGCTAAGACTCCTTGTAGGTGCGCTGCAACTCGGTGGTCAGCTTGCTCACCTATGGGTGTGTCCTACAATGAGGGGACCCCTAAAAATCGCCGGTTTCAGTCAAGAATCACTTGGGACAAGTTGAAAGGGACCAAGGAAGTGGCCCGAGCTGCCCGCCCTTTAAACCCATCCAGCAGCGATCCTGCAGATTCCTTCCCTAGGGGAACCGCACCGTGAGCGCTCGGGACAGGCAACATCACCGGGCTGCAATGAACAAAGAGGGAGCCATGCGGGGGTTGGTTCACTCCCACCTGCACTGCTTCTGGGACTTGCGGAAAAGCAGCTGGGGGTTGTAAACGATTGTGGGTCCTTCCATTGACCCTCAAAGTACGAAATACACTCCGACATGTAGCACCACGCTGTGAACAACCCATTGATTGGGAAGGAGGTGGAGGGGAGTAGTGATAGGAATGACCCACTGGGGTCTGCTTGGAAGAAGCAAGCTACGCTGCCAATGTTTGATGCTACTGAACAGGGAAAGGGGGGGGATCCCCTTTGGCCGCTTACAGTGAAAACTAAAAGCCGGCAACGAGGACATCCTGCTTTTGGAAATCAATTGTGTCCAAACAGGGAATTGTTGCTCTCCTCTTGGTTTCTCTTTGAACCGAAGCAAGCTAAGCAAGGGTTCCCTTAGCCCGCGAAACCGATTTGGTTCATGGTTGAAAAGCTTGAAGCCAGGTAGAAGAACAGCTACAGGCATTCCCTTAAAGGAAACCACAAGGGATGATGCATAAGGGGCCATTCCATTTCTCATTGCCTGATCGCACCAGCAAGTCAACGATCAGGTACCACATGGCCAATGGGACGTTTATCGCGTGAGCCGTGCGGGGCCCGGGGCCTTGAGGCGTTGGTTGAATTGCCGCACCGTCAGCACTGACTCCCCTGGGCCCGGGCCTCGGGAAGCGGATGGATGGACCAAGCTTGCCAACTCAAGCAAGCCCAGCCGCGCTTGAAGGCTGTGGGCAAATTCCACTTCGCACCAACTGGTGCGATGTTGATTTTGTCCATCAACACATTGTGGTTGTGGTGGCCTTTTGTCACAACGCCGTGTTGATTGAGTTTGAAAGGGCGCCAGCAGGAACCCTTCATTTTGAGACAAACCCGCATTGTACCAGGGCCAATGTCCTCGCATTGTAAAGGCTCCCTGAACAGAAATCTCAATCATGGTTGTCCAAATCCAAATTCCCTTTTGAGGGGTCCAGGACCATCTATAGTCACCACAAGTAGGGTGTGTCACCACAAGTAGGGTGTGTCACCACAAGTAGGGTGTTTCGACCATTGCACATGCGCATTGGACAAAATGTTGCGCCGGTTGATGAAACCGTTCGAATGGTTGATAAACCGCCGAACTCCAATGAGTGCAAAATGCCCATCCGCAGTATGGGCGTGTTTTTGGAGGGTACCCTGGTTGGGGTTGGGGTTGAAAGAGAAGCCAAAGGAAAGCACCCATGCTCTCAGGATTCATGTCTCTGCACGAATCCGGAGCAGGGATTTAACAGCATGCCGTTGCGAAAATGCGTTCTGTGGCCGAATCGCTTTTCCCATGGATATAAATACTGTCAAACAGCTTTTATCTTGTGGGTCCAACGGCAAATCCGAGCTGTTTCAACCAAACAGTTATTCCAAAGACCTGCCACCAAATACCAGAGAGGGATATACAGTAAATATACGGAATACCTCAAGGAACCTTCCTCATGCTTGAGCTCCTTTTATCCCCAGACGAGCTCTTGACACATGAAATTGGGGCAACACCTACATAGCCTGGGGCATGTATACCACGGATCTATCACATGGGTTCTGCCAGCAAACCGATGCACTCTACCAAAATGAATAAACATGGTTATCATGCTTTTCTTAAGCCTTGTTACCACCCCCCATGAAATCAGGCAGTATAACCACCAGGGACCGAACACCAGGGAAAATTTTGTTCCAACATGGCCAGTAGGAATTGGTTTTTGAGCGCTCAAATGAATTACCGCACTCAGGGCGCGGCCAATACTTCGCTTTGTGCCATCGTCCACGTGCACCAATCTGCTTCCATCCCACTCCTTGGTGAAGCGCTCAAGCTTCGTCGTACAATGGATGCCACGGATTGTCCGGCTTCGGCGAAGAAAAAGGGGGTTGCTATATTCCCCCGGAAAGCATCCACCCAATAAAAAAAAGAACATTCATTTTGAAGTAGCCATCCGAAGTTGATGTTCAAAACCACCCGAAGTTGGGAGGTATAGGGCACCCTGAAGGCGTCGGCCCCGGCACGTTATCTAGTTGCAGGATCGTGTAGTAAGGGATCGGTTGACTAAAGTTGTTGCTGCAACCCACTTGGTCAAACTATGATGACTGTTTCTAGGGGTTATCAATTCGAGAAACTGGGGCGGTTCCCCGCTAGCTTACTCTTGGAGGTGATGTCAACATTGGCTCAAACTACTCTTGAGCAAGAGCCCTCGGTTGAGTCTCCCTTGCGCCACCGCCCCCATGGTGCCAGAGCAAGGGCTCTAGAACAGGGGCCGCCAGACACAAACAAAAACTGGGCGAATCTCGTCACACGCGCTGTGGCGCATTGGAAGCGCGTCCGCGAACGAGTTGCATGCGTGAGGCTGCAGATTCAATTCCTGCTACCCGTCCGAAGGCATGCCATTCCCAACCATTGTTCCGGCATTTTGTCTCGGTGAGTCGAAACTGCTTATCACAGAAAGTGTTCTGCAGCCATGGCTGGCCAATGGAACCCAAACCGTTCAGAGATGGGTATGACTGTCACAAAGGATTGACAATTCGTATGTTTTTGCCAGACTCCCCACGTGACTCCCAGCTTGCCAGAGAGGCTCTCTCAAGAGCAACATTCAAGAGTGGGGAGCTGGCACAAACACATGCAGATCATGTAGGAGTGTTTCTCAAAATAGTAGACCCACCCGAACTGGATTGATTTGTTTGGGCCGAAACTACTATTTGAAACTCCAGCCTGGTTTAGCCGTTAATGTTGACGCCATAGTAATCAACCCCAGTTGATTAATAGGGGGCTGGGTTTAGTGGGGAATCATCACTTTTGGAGGGGACACCCCCCTATTCATAAAGATTAATGCGGGGTCAACATTAGCCCCAGACCCGAAAGAAGACGGTTGCAAATCAGACCCTCGGGTCCACAAGCTCCATTGATCAGCCTCCAAGAAGGGCCTCCTTTCTCTACAAATTTCGTTGGCCTGGCCAAACAAGCGAACATCTTCCAAGACCGAGAGGGTGTCCCTCCAACAAATGTTGGAATCTCAAAAACACAAATGCTTCAGACTTTAGATTCCTGTTTTTGGTTCCACGCCCAACCTGCCAAAACTTGCTGGTGCTCAGCAGGGATTGGGGGATTGACCCCCTATCAACCATCGGTATGGTTTCCTTTAAGGGAATGTCATTGAGCCAAAGGGAACCAGCATTTGGGGCTTGATCAAACGGTCTGTTACATGGGACCATTGAAACCACCAAACAGCTCACTTTGCTGAGCTTCCTCCCAGACTGGGTGATGGGTAATTTTCCTTTCAAGATGAGACATCTCCCCAAACTGGGATTCCTCCCAAACTGGGTGCGCATTTTTGGTTCCACGTCCTGCCAAAACCTGACCCCCACAAACGTCACCGCCGCTGCGCTTTGCCGTTCGGGGGGCGAAATGGAAGTAGCCGGAGCTTTGGCACTCGCAGCTTTGCTCGCACGCCAAGTTCGACTCCAAGGCCTGCGAGCTGAATGCATGCTTGAAAATGCAACAAACTGATATACATATTATATATGTATATTAATATGTATTCGTATCTATACAACAACATGGTCACGTGTTGATAGAAGGCCATGCTATGGCGGCCATTTTTGCACCTCGGCAAGATCCTGATCCACTGCATTTTACCGTAAAACTGCGCATGTGCCCTCTTGAAAGGCAAAACAAACCAGAGTTTCGTGCCTCCGACCCTACAAAAGCAATGGTTTTTACAGCGGTGTATTTTTTGGGGTTCAAGTCCCTAAATTTCAAAAAGTAGTTTGTGAAAAGTTGACCTTTCATGCGATGCGCGCCAACTCCTGAATAAGATCACATGTTTTTCAATTTGTTTCTCCAAACGAAACTGAACGCTATGCCATGGCGGTATCTACCACATGCTCGCGTAAGCGGAGGAGTCTTCGAGACAGCACAAACGCAGCAGCACAGACGTGCAGTGGAGCAGGACCTTGTAGAGAACCAAGATAAAATAACCAAGCGTTGAGGAGACAAGGCAACCTTGTTGCCAGTAGATCGAGATCAAGCGGGCCCCAGCAGGACAAGGAGCAAGTCAAAGGAGTCAGCAAGCCAAGCGACACGAAGCAGCGAGAACGAGTGCGGGAGGGCACAAAGAGCAAAAGCAGCGCAAGCCCATGCCGCTGAGCAGTTACGCAGCCGCCATGCTGCTCGTGAACGATGTGTTTTGTGCTTATCAAGTCATGTCTATTGGTGATTAACAGCTTGAGTTGGCTTTATGTGTAGGCCGGGGCTGTGGAGTGCCTCGGGTCTGAAAGACCCTGCCTAGTCCAGACTCTAACGAGGGCCAACCATCCATCGACGAAAACTCTGATCTGTGCATACGTGGGTGTGGCTCACAATCGAAGAACTAGGGTTACGCAGGTTGTGATCTTTGTTTCCATTTGCCTAGCCATGGTTCCCTCACAAATCAACATCAGTTCATAGCTGCAACTCTTCACGAATATTGACAACAAACCTGGGCTGTCGTCCTCAGATCCCCTGCTAATTCTTACACTTTTAGCGCCCCGCATGGCGATGGTTCGTTGCGTGGCCGGTGAAGCGAAAATCCGACCCAAAGCGCTGTGGCTTGCAGGGTCGACGAGGGCCGAAGCACAAACTACAATGGCTGTTCCAGACCAATGAGGAGCAGGCATATAGAAGGATCAAAGGCCCGAAAAGAACGTTAACGGTCAGGGTGATACCTAAAAAGAGGGGACAGCCAGACTTAGTCATGGCTGAATGAGTGAACCTGGTCCAAAAACAACGACACAACAGGTTAATGGAAACCCCCACTAAACCCAAACAAGCTGAGGGGATGGCGTCGACTGCTCGCATGCAGAGCACGCGTGTTCTGGTGTTCGCCTTGCCGCGATCTTGGGCGCTATCATCCCACTCCTGGGCTGAGGTACTCATTTGCATGGTCAGTTTGCTTGCGGAATGCCATCGGATTTGGAAGTAGAGGGCAGCGTCCTGAAAAAGAAAACAGACATAGTGTTCCTTTCTGGCAGGGCACTGCTGAACCTGGTTGAGAGCTTCCTAGTGTGAGGGGCCGAAATTCAACAGGAGCAATCTCACACACTTGGCAAATTGATTTCCGGGGCCCTCAATGCGTTCTGATAAACGGCTCGAGCTTGCACCAAAGGACAATCATGTGTGTGTGTGAAGCATCCTAGAACCCAGTTGTAAAACCCATTTAGGGTCACCTAAGAAATGGCTGCCAAGGATAGGCTCACTGCTTCAGGTGAGGTCCTGTAAACCTAACATCAACTTGAAGCCACAACTGCCCTGCTACTTCTGGCCACATTGATTTACCGCCATCAATGTCAACCGCTAACTGGCAGGTTCAAGGACAGCGACCCCAGCTTCTGACCTTGACCACCCCCGCGGAACGGTTTTTGGTTCAACTTTCGAACACTCAAGCCGCTGTGTTGTCGTAGTACTTCACGCGCAGCTGCCGCCAGTAGAAGGTATGATCTGGAAAGTCTCCATCCTTAGAGCGGGCGGGCGGAGGTGGTCTTCAAAGAGCTGACTGGGCTAGTGACGTGTGGTCCCCTGGGTCCAGCGAGAGACTCGTTTTCTCTGCTGCCTCGGCGCTGCAAACTTCATTGTCTCTGTGTAGAGCTGCAATTGCGTAGGCTGCCTGGCACAAAACCTTCTTCTGACCCCAAAGGACTCAACAGCTCCACAACCTTTCGGGGGTCCAAATGGGGAATCTGCTTTGGGTCGCCCGCTTGAAAGGTAGCATAAACATGATGCCATGGTTCCAATATGGCACCAACTGTGGCGGGGGAGGCAGGCAAACCAAAAAAACTGGCCTCTGTCAAATCTGGCTTCATGTGATTCTGAGTTTTAATCAGGGCCCTTGGTGGACATCATTGGATTCATGTGCAATAACTATTTTGGAGCGGCTCCCACATCCGAGCTCAGAGCCATGCTACCATGTTACCCCCGTCTAACTTTCCGGGTCTTCCAGCACACTTCCAAGACAAATGCGCGCCCGCCTGCCAGTGCTGCAGTTGCGGAAGCCCACTTGCAAACACTCACAGCTGTCCTCCTGAGCTCTTGTGCGCTTGCTTGGGGGGATCCTGTCTTGCCAACCATCTGTTTCTTGGGGCCCAAGTCACATGGAGCTGAAGAAACTGGGTGCCACTTAAGTCTCACCAACGAAAGCCAGAAGGAAAGCAGTTCCGCAAGGAAACAGAGACGTCTCCTTGTTTGACAAAACCGGCGCCTTGCAAAGCATCACGCTCCACCAAAACCCGCCGACCCATTTGGGCTCCTACTCCAAACTCCAAATACCAAATACCAGTGTTCTGCCTGGATTTGTTTCAAAGGCCGGACCGTTTAAAAAAATCCCAACGGTTTTGAAGCAATTCACATCAGGCTTGGGCCAAGCACCTGTTTAAACATGCCTATGGGCCTATGGGCACCAATTGTTTTTCCCCAACAGTTGGAAGCTTTGGGATCCTTGCCCAGATAGGCGATCAGAGGTGGCTTGGGGCAGCTTGCAGGCAGGGTCCAAAAGGATAACTCTTCGGGGCTTCCGGGGCTGCGGACACTACAGGCTTATTTTCAAGCCGCTCTTGCCCAAACCTTGCCATCCTTCCCACAACCCCCACCCCCGGCTCAGATTCATTCGACTGCGAGGCGCCGCGGTGTCGCAGTACGTGATGTCGCATTCGACTGCCGAGGAGCCTCGGCAAGGCGGCTAGACACATCCACCGATCCTTTGGGGAAACCGCCCAGGCCCCCACCTTGTCCAACCCCCCCTCCCATCAAAAGAAAGAAGACAGTGATATCTCTGCCATTGTCCAATTTGTGGCTGCAAAGATGTGAGCTGGAACAAAAACAAAACACACCCCAAAGGCTCTTTGGAACCTTGATAGAAATTCTAAGGTTGAGAAGCTTTCTGGGAGGTATTGGCGCCCTTCTGTCTCTCCTTGTCCTTTTGAGATACGGTCATTCTCAAAACTTTGCCAGATCCGTGCGTGGTGTCACGCTACACGACTTTTTGGTCGACGTGTTGGAAGCCCAAATTTGTGTGGCTGTCTTCGATATACAGCGCGAATCATTTGAGACTTCTGACACCCCCCACACCCACGCAGTTTCTCAAAATAGGGATCCCATAGAATGATTGCGTTCTTTTTGTTTCGCTTTTAAATACCAACCGAAAGGGGTCCGAATCTCATTGAGAAACTCCCATGGGCCCTTGGACCTCACGCCTGAAGGCCAGGGCTTCTTAAATGGCTGGCCGCCGGTGCCTGCGCCTTTGCACCATCGCTCCATCAAAAGGGGGTTGTTCTGCGAGGGGAATCTGCAATCTTGAGCCACCCGCAGGGTTTCCTCCATTTTCCTGTTGGAACCTCAAGCGGATCGTTCGGGAAGGCAGCACAAAGCGTCCTGTGGGTTCCAAGGCCCGCCAATTGTTGGGAAAATGCTGCAATGCTGGTTCCCTTTTGCCAATTGAACACTGCAACGAGGTGGCCCCCACTTGACATCTTCTCTGAGCGACGACAGCCCTCTGTCTCCCGCTGCCAGCACATCCGCTTGCCCTTGGCCGTGAAGTATATCCTCAGGACCAACGATGAGCTCCGGGGAATCTTCAAAATGGTTTCCGCTTCCTTATGAATCTCTTTAAGACCAGCCAAGCAGGAGTTCTAGCTAACACGACGCGGCCAGTTTTCCAAAATTCGCAGCATTCCCTAAGTTGTGCTTTCAACTCCGCACCCGCTGAATCCCAGGCTCCCTGAGTCATGTCGACCCACGAGCTAGAAGAGGCAGGCGCAGTCCGTCCGTAAAATCAAGCAGCACATGTTGAGCCCTGGGCCGAAGCCTCTCGCGCATGTCCACACCAGGCATTTAACCAGGGTGCAGCCTGGACACAAAGGACCCCCATGCATGCCACACAGCCCGAACGAAAGCATCCGGAGCAGACTTCAGGCAATCCAGGAAATAGTTTCATGCAAGGCGCTTGTACACGGGCATAGCCATGCTTGACTCCAGTGATGTGGCATCCAGAAGCTGCTCGTCTATGTGGCCGTCGCTCATAATCTCGGATAATAGGCATGCCCGTGCTCATTCTAAACCACGCATGGCCGACCACTGTCAGAAGCGCTTCAGTCTGAGAGTAAGCCCGAGAGGACCCCCATCCCTTTGCCACAAGGCAACAAATATGCCACAAGGCAACAAATATGCCTCTACCAAAAACTTGCGAGGACCATGCGCCTTCTTTGCAACTTGCAAAAAAACCTCCGGGAGAAGTCCAACTCGGTTTCATATGTCAACCCTGGGAGCTGCTCAAAGAAACACGGTCAGATTACCATGAGACGCACGCTCTTGACGTTTCATGGGGGGCTGCAGGCTCGCTCCAAACTGCAGAAGGGGCCCAGCATGTCAAGGCGATGAGATCTTGGGGGCAATTCCAAACTACAGTCGCTAAGGGGCGGCAGGAGGCAAACCCCATACGCCTTCTTCTTGTCGGCCTCCCATTCAAAACCATCCAACAAGTCTCCACCGATACAGCCAGGTCACGATGGCATGTGACCGCCTCAGCTGCGACTCGCGGCCAGGTTTCCTTCCCGCGAACAAGGTAATACGACAGGGGTCCAACTTGTTTACTTCATCTTTGTTTTGTGGCAACACGGCCATACCAACGTGCAACCTGCCACTAACAGCGGGAATTTGGCAATGGCGACATGTCAATTCCATGCCTGCTTTGCTGATGCCTGAAAGCATTCAAGCAGACCTTGCCTGAGACTTGATGACAACTGTCATCCCATTGGCCAAACCCGACAAATGCCAAAGCGGGCACACTGCGTTGCGACATGCATGTTTCACATTGGGAAAACATGGCAAGGGAACAGGGAAAACCTGGGAGCCACTTGAGAGGCATTGGGAAACGCGGGAAACAAACAAAACAGGCAAATCATGGGAGAAGCGACTGGGAACATATGGGAGAAGAGATTGGGAAAACATTGGGAAAACGTGGGGAAACATGGAAAGCCATGGGCAAAAAAAACTTCGAGACAACGTGGGAACCAACATGGGGAAAACATGGTAAACCATGTGTGGATACGGGGACCATGGATAAACATTGGGTTGCATCATGGCTGGTTTAGTGGGGCCATGTATACTGTATACGCGGTTCCCTGAAACCCAAAGAAGGCTGCCCACTGGCGCACATTTTGTCACGCGTGCTTGTTCTTCTCGTGTCTGTTGTCAGGGAGTTAGCTTTCAGTTAATGTTCGTACCATGAAGAAAATTCCGCCCAAATTTCCTTTGAGCAAGCCAGCCAAAATCAAGCCAAACGCAAGCAAACCCTCAAAAACCACTCCACAGGGCGGGGGTTTCCCAGAACGCCTCCCACATCTTCAAGATTGCCCAGGCCAACCCTAAGCCCCAAAACCAAGGCCAAAACTAGCTCCGACCAGCCCCCCACCCAATTCTACGCCTGATCGCGACGCCTGGTCGGAGCGCTCTCGAAGCAAGCTCTGAGCGACACAGCGGTGAAGTGGGAAAACGAGTTGTTTGAGGTAGATCTGCCAAAAGTCCGCAGAGAGTTGCGACGTGGGGAGTTCGAGTTTTTGAGTGTCGACCGAGGGCGCCGGGGCTTTGGGGCTTTGGGTGGGGGGGGGGGGGACGGACGGGACCCTGTATGTATATATATATATATATGTATATATATATATATATATATATGTTCTATAATGTACATATATATATATATATATATATATGTTCTATAATGTACATATATATATGTTCTACAATGTACATATGTATGTATATGTATATATATATATATATATTATATATATATATTTATTTTGGGGGGGTTGGGGGGGTGGCCGGCGCCGGTAAGACAAAACCCATCGATTTTAGAGCTCGTCAAAGGCTGACTGCAAAGCCAAAGCGCCGCATGTAGTTCTTCGCCTGCACCTGGCAAGGGTCTCGAATGCCATCCCTTTCAACACCTGGGCCGTTCAAAACTGGAAAGAAACCATTCCCAATTTCCACAATCCCTAAGAATCCTCTATGGTTCCATGATCTGCTCCATAATCCATTCCCAAGCTCGCTAAACCGTCCATTCCCAATTAGCTTGCTCTCTTGTTCGTAGGGCTTCATCATCCCGACTGGTGCAGGATTTTGTCCATCCACCGTATGGTCACGGACTTCCCTTTCTCCAACAAGCATGGAAGTGGACAAGGGGCCTTTCCAAGAGAATGTAGTCTTCCAAACACCCTCCTGTCGACTTCCGTGAGTCTTGGAAAGAGGGTACCTACGCAATGGATAGGAAACACATGGAAACACTAAGTTGCCCAGACCAACATGCGATACTGCAAAATAAGCCCGGAACCCCTTATTTGGGCAATGACTCCCGTAGGTTTGAGCTGCTTGCTGGGCACGCAGGATTTATTCAGTGCGAAAATTGCAAGCACACAGGCTTGTTTCGCCAACATTCGCTGTGGCAAATTGACACTTGTTGGCAATGGTCACCGCTCAATTCCACTTGCTAATTTGGGCTTGTGTCCAAGGTCATCCTCTTTGCTGCCGGCGAGTCTACTGATCGCTCGCAAGATCTGTGACGCGTTTCAAGAGGGGTGTCTCCAAACAGGGAACCCCCCAATTTCAGCTCTCTAGTTGGTGGTTTGGATTGGTGGAGCTGAGGTGTAGCTTCCAATTTAGTCAGGGGTTCAAATCCCCGAACTACCAATCCAAACCATCAATGAAGGCTTATATGACAATCGGGGTTCTGGTCTCCTTTACCTTCGCTTTGAAATAACACACAGTCCTTTTTACAGCATTCAAGGACCTGCCTTGGCAAGAAGTGCGAGGCATTGTATGAAGAGCTGACCTCACACAGTGCGCTGGTCACATGGAAAGCGGGGCAGCCCCAAACTGGACAACAACCACCACCGAACGAAAATGATGACAGGTTCAATGCTAAAGCAACCCAGGACCCACCCCAACTAAGCTCAACTCCAGCCCGAAACCAGCCCCAATCCAGTCGCAATTCGCGCCTAATTTAAGAGCAATTGGAATAGGCGATTTGGGTACTTCAACTTCCACATTTAGCCATGATTCTGGCGAGATTATTAGCAACTATGTTGCCGCTTGTACTACAACCAGCCCGGAGCGACCGGAACCACCACTGAAATAGCCCCGGGCCCCAACCACGACAAGCATCTGCGCTACACCAACCTTCAGCCCACCCCCCCAAGTCAGAATAGACTAGGCAATCCTAAACCAATCCAAGACCCACCCTAAGTAAGCTCTGCACTAGCCACAACGCGCCACAAGCGGTTTGAACTAGCCGGCAAAACCTGCCGACCAACCAGTGAACAACATAATAAACCAACCAACCAACCAACCAACCAACCAACCAACCAACCAACCAACCAACCTACCTACCTACCTACCTACCTACCTCCCTACCTACCTACCTACCAACAAACCCACCTACCTACCTACCTACCCACCCACCTACCCACCTACCTACGAACCAACCAACCAGCGAACCAACGAAGCAACGAACCAACCAACCAGCCAGCCAGCCAACCAGCCAGCCAGCCAGCCAGCCAGCCAACCAGACAACCAGCCAACCAACCAAGCAAGCAACAGCAAGCAATAACAAGCAAGCAACCAACCCAAAACCACAATCAAACAAATACACAAAGAAAAAAAACAAGCAAACAAACAAAGTAAAGAAATAAAGAAAGACAGAAAGAAAGAAGAAAGAAGAAAGCAAGAAAGCAAGAAAGCAAGAAAGCAAGAAAGCAAGAAAGCAAGAAAGCAAGAAAGCAAGAAAGCAAGAAAGCAAGAAAGAAAGAAAGAAAGAAAGAAAGAAAGAAAGGCACAAGCAAGCAAACAAACAAGCAAACAAACAAACAAAGAAGCAAACAAGCAAGCAAGCAAGCAAACAAACAGATAAACCATCAAACACATCGACCAATACCGGCCGAGCCAGATCACTCGCTGAATAAGTTGGAGTTTGGAGTAGGGAGTTCCATTCGGCGCTGCTACGACTCGATTCCCCGGCGGCTTGCCAAGCAGCATCGCATCCGTGCCAGCTCGTGTATGGAATGGACCTGGCGACCACGAAGAGCAAAAGGCTTAAGAAGGCCATCTAGTAGTTTAGCCCATAATGTGTTCAGTGTCTGCTTCATATTTAGTCCACCCTGGGTGGGGTATTGGTTTGGGTACCTTCTCTGGCTCATGTGGAATGTGGATGACGGGAGTTGAATGGAATGAAATGGCACCCAGAACTAGCTGAACAGCGATGAGTGTAAGAAAGACGAGCCGGTTTTGCCGAGGAAACAAACGCCAACGGACTCTTGCGGGGAAGTTAACTGAGCTCAACACTGGCATAGTTAGAGCACCGATGTCGTTTGCACAATTGCCCGGATGTCTTGAGCAGGCATCCCTTGGATGGCTACAGCCCATAACGATATGAATGTCATATAATATTGCTACAGGAACTGATAGTCCTGTTGTTCTTTGCAAAGTATAAAACCTGTCTGTTTTTTTTGGGGGGGGTCCCCCCCCTTTTTGGTTGGCTTTAAAAGAAAACCACAACGAACCCAACCATTTCCCAAAACAGATGACACACCCAAATCAGATCTCAGTGTCAAGAAAGACTTGGATCCCCAAGTACAGGATCCACATCATGAGCTCGCTGTTCTCCCGGCTTCAATCAAAGCAAATACCCCAAGTGATTATGCTAACATTGTGGACTTCGAGGTGCCAAAGGCCCTATGGAACAAATCAGTCAAATAGCGTTTTCAGATATTTGTTTCATTTGCATAATATAAACAATTTAACGGAGGTGCGTGTGCAGGAACAAGACCCCACTAATTGAGTCAAATGCAAACCTGGTATCAAAGGGGATTATCCCAAATGCCCTCTGCGCTGGCACGGGCATGCGGGGATTCTTACACTATGTTGCTCATCCAGAATGTTGCAGTGGTACTGTGGTTTGTACCCAAACATCCTTCGCGAATGTTCGCTCCGTATTATCAACCCCAGTTTTTTAATAGGGGGGTGAGGGCCCTACAAAAGTCATGATTCCCCACTAAATCCAGGGACGACCCCCTAATAATGAGCTGGGGTTGATGAATAGGGCGTGAACATTATTGCGGAACAAAACGACATCTTCATCATTGCTCGCATGCAGTCAGTGAGAACCAATGTGCCCTTGGTTACCAGAATCCACACGGCCTCCAGCCCAATGAACATCAGTAATTATACCAAATGCATCCAACTACCGGCCAAAGGTTGATGTTCGACCTCCCTTGGCTGCACAATAAAGGCCTGCAGGGAAAACCAGGTCTGGAGACAATCACTCTGCAATTTTGAGAACAAGCCAAGAAAGCCTCCCCCCATCATGGCGCTTGCTGTGACCCCATCCAGTCAGCTCGCCACTTTGTGAGGCAGAAAAGCATCCACTTTCCGGCCTCATAGGTTTCCCAAAATATTGGTCATCTGCCCCTTCCATGAAGAGGCTTGAACCAAAGAGCAGGTGGCGATCGACAGGCATCGATCGCTCATTTTAGGTGAGCATATGAGCGTGCCTTTGCTTGATGAATTTGTTGCCTTTTGGTGTTTCAGAAACGCTGTTGGGAAACCATCAATGTTCGGGCTCCCCAATTTGAAGACAACCCAAAAAATGACAGGCTTCTGTTGAGTCGAGTCGTATTGCGCGCTTTAATAGTGGCAAGCAAAACCCTGCGTGCTGTAATTGTTGATGACTTCTTTGACATTGCTGCAGCTTCCCTTCCGAGTGGTTGTCTGCGATCTGTTGCTGAAATGCAGGCAGTGGAAGATGGATTCATCAGCATCATGCAATGTGGCAATGAGAGCGTTTAGGGATGGCTATTCAACACGAAAGGCATGTGGCGCAGTTGCGAAGGCAATGCACACTGAAATGATCTGAAATGCAACAAAGCAGCTAAGTGCGCTAGTTTGCTGCAAAGATCGCGAAACCTGTCGTTGACATAGACGTCTGGCCGGCCATGTCCTTGTAATTCTCGCCCTAAAAATTGGTGAGTTCCTTTTGCTTCCGAGGGGGGGGGGCCTTCTTACCTTTTTCGGGGACACTGCTTTGGGGGCCCTCAAACCCAACCTCACACTTTGTGTTGCCCTTCTGTGCGCAGCCCTCCCCCTGTTGGGGGGGTTGCTTGCCGTGGGAAAGGTGCTATACTTCCAAGAGGAAACCATTGGGGCAAACCATACTTCCGATAAGGTGGGAAGCATGCAAGGACAAAAAAAAATGGCAGAGCCTGTGCCAAAAACCCGTGTCAAGCCAAGCATCTGCATAATTAATTCAGCAACCGCCAGGTCTCACCCCAAGATTCTCGGCCCATGGGTCAAATCGCTCCTGTTTGACCCCCAGAGCTTGTGATACTTTGCCCAGAAACATCTGCAAATCGGCTCCAAAACCTAGAAAAGGACGTGGATCCTGAGCTAATGATCATAGATCGTTTGTACCAAAGCTCAAATTGGCACCTCCAAATCCTGGGACCCTGGGAGCCGGGCCATTGCGACCTCGGACCTAGCGCGACTGGTCCAAAGGTACTGAGACCACATGTTTGAGAAATCATATCAGAGCCCTGGAGGCTTCATTCTGGCTCCCATCCAAAAGAGGAATGAGCCATGGCCCCGGGCTCCATGAACCAGGGAGCAAACTGAACATGTGTTCTGTGTGGGGAGTGCTAATGGGCTTCTAGAATAGGCGCCGGCAGTCTCCATGTGGTTTCCCTAAACAACAGCAAAGGAAGGCCCTGAACTAGTTGAAACGCCCTGAGGCAGGGACGATCTTCCAGGACGTGTGACAAATGGGTGTGCCGGTGTGGGCCCAGGCCTTCATTCGGGGCCGCCCCCAATTTCCTCCTCAAACAACAGACTGCCAACCATACCCTGCACCAACAAAAATGGACGTAGCTGCAAATTGGCGAGGCCACTGAAAAAAGGAACTCCTACGTTTGGGAGATGGGAGGCTTGACGACCACCTACAAGTGCAAAAGACGATCTACAGGTCGCCTGCCAACGGCGTGCCAACCGCCCGTTCCCTCCCTCCACCTGTGGCTCTGGCACCGTCTCGACGAAAAACGCGGCGACTTGAGCTGAGCCAAAACGGAGATGTACATGTGGTGTGTTTTTTTGTCCGGGGAATGAGGCCGAATCATGAAGAGCCTTTCACACTAAAACAATAGCCGCGCCTCAACGTCACGGAAGGCGGCAAGAAATTGGGACTTGCGTGGTCTATGTGTCGTCTCAAAGTTGGCCACGCACCCTGCAGTCCACTTCAAAAGACGCGCCTTAAACCTGAAACACCTCAGGTCCAAAAGCATTGAAACCAACCAGTTCCTTGTCATCTTGATCACGGGGCTCTTTCCCGGAACTCTTTGGGCCCATGCACGACTTGAAACCCTCACATTGAGCAACTGGAACACTCTTTGCAGGAAGCCTTGTCCCCTCAATGGCGATCCTGAGACAAATCTTCCAAACACGCTCGCCAAACAATTGACTTGGCCCCAAACGAGACTCCGCTGCAATTGAATTGCGTGGGTTGCTAATGAAGGAATGGGAAACAGGTGAGTACCCACAGTTGCTGATATCTATCGCCTTGATTGCCCAGAACAACCTTGCCCGATTGGCCTACACTCTGTACAACTCCAGAAAGCGCCAAAGCCGCGTGTGCAACATTCCAGCTGCTCAAGCGCCACTTTTCCCCATTTTTGGACAGCGGACAGCGTTGAAAAAAACCGGGCTGTGGGACCACCACGGTCTCAGACGTTGTCAGCTGCGTAGAAAAAAGCCGCAGCTCAGTTCAGCCACTTGTTCTCCACCAACTTCCTGGCCTGGGACTTGGAGGAACACCTCTCACACACGGGCGTGAACAAATATCGTGACAGCAAAGTGGTCCATCCCAAGAAGACTACTTGGTCATTGCAAAAGAGGATTCCCCGAGTATCACAGAAAATGGCCCCAAAATACCCCAGTTTTCCACAACCGTGCGTCCACATCAGGCCATGCAAAACTGTCAGGGCGCGGCTTTCTTTGACCATACCATACCATACCCTTTTTCGTCTTTCAAGGGGGAAATCCCAACCCCCCCATCTTGCAGGTCCCCCCCCCCCCCCCCCCAATTTTTCAGAAAACGGCAAACGGTTTTTTTGGGGGGTAGAAAGGCAAACCCTTGGGTTTGCCAGCGCGCCTGACTGATAAGCAGGCCGAAGAGGAAGACCGCAAAGGTCAGGCAGACCGCCGTCGCGTTGAGGACCTGCGGGATATCGGCACTTCTGAGCGGTTGGAGCTTTGAGGACGGCTGCGATTCCCTGTGGCATTGTTGGCCCCTGGAAATGGACATGGGCAATTGTAAGGGGCATAAATTATGAACATCAAACTTCGGTTGGATTCATGTCCACTTTTACGGCTCCCTATTAAAATACGGCGTGTCCACATCCCAATACCAATCGTCGAGGGTCATTTTGAGGTTGCCCAGTGCTCTGGCCATTGAATCTGCGGGTAAGTCTCTAGTTGGACTCACCATGATTGAGGCGAATTGACAGCAAAAAAGGATCTCAAAGCAAGTCCGTTGAACAGGAATCTGCAAATATCCTTGTTCTAGCAAACAAACAGTTGCCACTCCTCCAAGTACCAAGCAATGTCTGCAAACTTTACGATAATCCCCAGCCTCAAATCAGTATTGCCGTAAAAAAATGCAGTCGAAGTTCCGCTCTCTGTCTCTCTCTCTCTCTCTCTCTCAGCACCCGCCCAAAAAGCCACACGATCGATCGCCTTCCGGTTGTAGTACTCCGTGGAGTCCTGAGTCGTTGCAGGGGTTTGCCTTCCGTGGATGTTCATGGGAAGAAAAAGGGTGCTTGCTTGGCAAAACAAGGATCCCAGGAAGATGTTTGGGAAGTTGACACGACACAAACAAGCAGGCAAGCAAGCAAGCAAACGAGTGAACCAGCAAACGAATCAAAGCAACGCCAACCAAAACAAACAAACCCGACAAACCAAAGCAAACAAACAAAATGCATACAACACCAAAACACTACCTCACCGTGCGAAAAACCAACCAATCAAACAGACAAACAGAACGGCCAAACAAACAAAAAACAAACAAACAGCAAGCAGCCAAGCAAGGAAACAAAATCAGAACAAACAAACACACAAACACACAAACACACAAACAAAAACCGAAGAAACAAACAAGCAAACACAATGAAAACTATATGACTCACATACAAACAAACAAACAAACAAACAAACAAACAAACAAACAAACAAACAAACAAGCTGACTAACTTGCCCACACAAGAGTATCATCACCACCACCAGGATACCTTGCCGCCGCCCAGCACCTACACCAAAGGCCCCGACCGGGTCGATGTTCTGGCCCGGCTCAGAGCCCTCGCTCCAGGTGGCGAAGGCCGGCAAAGCACCTGCCGAGTCGACTCAAGAAGCCCTAAACCTTCGAAGAGTTGGACCCCTATCAATCGGTTTTCACCACGGAAAATCACGAATTCAATCATTAAGTTTTGTGTGCGAAAAGATTTGGAGACACAACACAAGGCAACATACACCGTCCCAAACGCAAACTTGGAACATAAAAATTTGTATTTGCTGGGGAAAACTGTCTTTCAGTGGATGCTTTTGCGGCTCCATGTGAGCCAGCGTCTATATTTGCTGTGTGGGGTGTATTCATTCTACTTTTAGTGAGTCCCCTATCGTTCTCCACGTTTCGCGTGTTCGTGCTGCGCCCGTTGAACCCTCTGCAGGGATCGCGCGCCTCGAAGCGCTCCCACTGTGGTGCCGTGCGAATTTGTAAAGCGCCCGATGAACCCTCTGCGAGGATTGCGCGTGCCACAGCGCCCTCGCTGTGACGCCGTGCGAATTTTAAAACTGCCCGATGAACCCTCTGCAGGGATCCTGCGCGCCCAAGCGCTCTCGCTGTGGCGCCGTGCAAATTCGCAAAGTGCCCAATGAACCCTCTGCGAGGATTGCGCGTGTCAAAGCGCCGTCGCTGCGACTCCGTGCGAATTTGAAAAGTGCCCGGTGAACCCTCTTCGCGGTGACCACGCGTGCCCAACAAACTTTCTACGCAAACCCCTATAGCGCCGCGCGAACTCGAAAAGCACCCGACAAACTTTCTACGCAAACACAGCACTGGAACCACACGCGTAGTCTTTTGTAAGCAAATGCACTAGGCCTCACATTTGCAACTCGGGCCAATGCTCGGGGTATCGACGGGGTATCGACCGGGGTATCGTTCTGGGCGTGTGTCGCGTGACGAAAATTTTCACAATTTTCCATAAGCCGTTAGAGCCAAGCAAACACACAATAGCCTTCTCTGCCTTGCGGTAATCATATATCAGTCTTGGCGGCTTGCTTGCTGGCAGCAACCTCAAGGTCGCAAGTCGCAACTTTCACCACAAGCGCAGTGCACAAGTTACGCTTCGGCAGCTCCAGCTCGAAGGTCGCAGCTTGCGGCGGTCACGT